TATAAATAGCTGAGTGCAGAAGTAAAAAAAGTTTATATACATTTTCATCTAAATAATCACAAAAAACTAAAACACCATCATACAGCAAGAGTCGTCTGTACTCTGTACCCTTCAATAGGTAAAATCTTGAAAAGATCTTGGAGGTCTATTGAAGTCCGATGGACATGAGTCCTTCAGCATTTCTAGCTTATGGGAAATAGCTGTAACAATGTCACGATGCAGCTTCCAAGGTCCATTCCATTTTAAAAGAGCTAAGAGGAATCTCTTGAACACACCTAAATCGATAAGATGCAGTGCATCTAAACGGAACTGAGACACTAGAAGAGTTTCTATGTCAAGCAATGGAGAGCGGTCCAGATGATGATATGGTTGTTCTTGGTCACGAAATGACTCATCAGTTCTCAGAGTCTCATCAAGTTTTATATATGTCATGCGATGATCAATCCATTCTCCTACAACCTCACACTTCTCACAAGCACAATATCCTCCATGTTCAATACAACACTTTACTTTTGCACGAGCTGGAGCATCTAAAATATAATGCCTAATCAAAAATTTATAAGCAATATCATTGTTTGTGTAACCATTTTGAAGCAAGTGAGCAACCTCTTTCACAAAAGGCTTAAGAAAATCCTTTACACTAGGATCAATTCTTCCTTTAAAAAGTGCAATAATAAAAGGTTCATTTTTTGTTTTTACGAGCCTACCTAATATAGGCCAAAATCTGATCGGAGAGCTTTTGTGGAGTCCATATTGATATCAATGATAATTTCATGAAAACGTACTAAATATTCCTGCAAATCCATAGAATCTAAATTGAATGTAATTCCTTTATACCATAATTTTCCACCATTAACTGGTATTAAATTAATCCCAGGAGTTTGTAAAAGGGTTTTATAACTAAGAGGTAAGTTTGGAAATGCAGGATGAAGTTTAGAAAGTAGATCATCTAACTTCCTCTTTGAAAGTCTTCCTGGCTCACGAGCCCATGCTTCTATAGCAGCTCTAACATACTGAGCCTTCTCATTTTCATCAGCAAAATACATTTGTTCTTCTGATGTATTATTTTCTTCGTTACTTTCAGAAGTAATAGAACCAACATCTGCCTGGGCTTCTGTTTGTGATGAGATAATACTGTCACTGTTATCATCACTTGCAATTTCAGAAGCAGTAAGATTCACGCTATCAATTTCATTTATTGATGGATCCGGTCCATAGTCAATGTGTTCAACAGCATTCTGTTCATTCTGACTTTCTTCGTGAAAATAAACGCAGTTATAGCCATCATCTTCAGATGACTCATTACAAAATGCAATATTTTCTTCCATATCATCAGTACTGTCACTAGCGGAATTAAAATGCTGCTGTTTCACAATAGCATTGACTTTGTCTAATCTAAGGCGCTTTGCAGCAAGCTTACGTATATTTCGATTTAACGATCTCTTGAAGTTTCGTTCTATGATCTTCAAAATGAACAAAAAGCACGTTATAATGTTACAAGCTATAATATTAAGACTTAAGGTTATACAGGGTGTTTTATTTTAAATGACAACCTTAAATATTTCTTGAACAATACATTTTAGAAAAAAATGTTTCAGACAAAAGTTACTTGGTTTGGAGAAAAACAAATAATGGTAAAATAGTAAAATCAATTTTTGAAAAAATCGATTTTTCAACGAAACACGGTCACCATAATTTTTTAAAATGGAATTATATAATTTTCTTCCATAAGATAAATTTCCTAGTTATTCTGCATATCAAAAAAGTATTAAGGTAAAAGCATTAAGGTAAAATTATCAAAAAATCAATACTTTATGAAATATATTATATTTTATTCTGACATATTTTAATGTGAAATATAAAATATCTCATAAACTATTCTTTTTTTTTTTATAATTGTACCTTAATACTTTTATATGCGGAATAACTAGGAAAATCATTTTATGTAAAAAGTTATATAATTTAATTTAAAAAAATGTTAAACCTGTTTCCTTAAAAAATTGATTTTACCATCATTTTTCCTCCCATAAACCATGCAACTTCTGTCTAAAACATTTTTTATTTTTCTCAAATATGTTTGAGGTCATCATTAAAAATGGAACATCCTGTATATGTACACTTAATTTTCTTTTTACGTGGTTAAAGTGTACCGCGTAAGCGTTAAAAAGATTATATTATTTAGGAGGAAACTCGTGTAAAAAAGATATAGGAATACAAAAGACATATTATTTTATGCCGTAGAGCAAAGGAAATCGTGTAAAAAGAAATCGCGTTATATAAAAAAAACCGCATTAAAAAATGGTCAAGAGTACAAAGATTGTCGAAACTGTTTTTAATAATGTCATAAATATAAGTCGGAGACAAAAGTTTACACATGATTTGTCGTAAATATCAACCGTATCGTATAAAACATTGCATGATCTTTAGTTTTATAATAACTATAATTACAGTGACTATTTTTTCAAGATATCTAATTATTTATAGTAAATAATACGTTCATACACAAAAAAATAGGGAACACTTTCTATACTAAAAATTGAGATATTTTCAAACCACTGAAACTCGGCGTAAAATTATTGTAGACAAAAAATAAAAAAAGCATTTTAAAGCTTAAAGTTTCAACTTTAACACGCTGCCAATAGCTTTTTAAAATTCATTTGTCTTCTTTTTGGTGCTTTTTAAAACTAAATCTATACTATTTAGAAATAGTATTGATACTCGGCTAAAAAATCGTTGTAGACAAATAATTAAAAAATCATTATAGGCGTGTTAAAGTTAAAACTTCAAGCTTCAAAACGTTTTCTTAATTTTTTGTCTACGATGATTTTTAGTCAAGTTAGCAAAAGATTGTAATTTATAAAACTTGAGCCGAATTTTTCGAGATAAATTTTTTTATTGAGCTGCAAAATGTCAAATACACATAATTTTAAGGAACAGAACAATATGTTCTTTTTTAAAGCATGGAACAAGGAAAATAAACAAATATTAAAAAACTATTAATAGTAGTTTGTTAAAGTTAAAACTTCAAACTTCAAAAAGCTTTTTTAATTTTTTGTCTGCAATCATTTTTTGCTGAGTTTCTACGTTTTGAAAATAGCCTAATTTTTAGGGCACAAAAAGTATTTCCTATTTTTTTTTAGTATTGTATTTAACTATATTTAACCCTAGAGAGTCTTTATGAATTTTCTCATACGTAAAAGGCCAATCGGGGTAATAAATTACCCCAAACTTGTACCGCGTGTATAATGTTTCTATTTGTTGTTAGACAACTTTTTAATAAATAATTTTGTTTGTTCTTTAATAGGGAAGACGATAGTAGTCATCAATTTGCGGTAGTAAAAAAAAACAGTAAAAAAATTTCGAAAAACAAGAAAAAGAACCAAAAATTGAGCTGAAATGACTATTTTTATAAAAAATGCTGTAGTTTTTCATAAAATTCACCGATTTTTAAAATTCCAACGGATTTTGAAAGACGAATAGACAACCTTCAAGGGCATGTAAGCGATTTTTTCGTTTCTTAAAAAAAAGAAACATATTTCTTTGAACATCTGAAGTAGAGGAAATGATGAAAAACTGTCGGATAGAAAAAATTGCAAGAAATGGAAAGTAAAACAGATTCTGTCGATTATTATTTATTTGAAAGGTAGTCAAAAGTTATAAAAGTATATGAAAACAGTAAAATTAACTCCACAAAATCTTTACAAACTTTTAATCAGTTGCTGTGCAAGAACAGCAAAAATGAAATAATTGACCAAATCTTAAATAATTATATATGAAACAGGGGTAGAATTTTCCGGGGAGTGCTATAAAGTGTATAATTTTTCGTTACCGATTTTCACAAAAAATCTGAAATATACTTTACTGTGGTAAATGTCGAACGTAAACGGCCAAAGGGGGTAATACGTTACCCCAAACAATTTTCTTTTTCGATTTTCAGCTGCTGCACGGATCTAACGCACTCACTGAATGACGGAGGTTGACTGCCGGATGACTGAACTGAATTATGGTTAGGGTCTCGGTATAAGAACTAACTTTCCTAAGGCAGGGGCGCAATTTGAATTTTGCATGGGGTAACGTATTACTTCAGAAAGACTCTCGCTAAAGTTAAAATATTTTAATGTTTTTAAAAATAAAATATATGAACTGATAATGTTATATATGACTCGACAAAATTATTCATAAAAAAATTATGATAAGACAATTTTTTACAAAATACTAAAAATATCACTCAGTATTTGACAGCGATTATTAGACTATTATCAATCGACATCGATGTCAAATCGACATTGATTGACAGATCATTTCTGGCTAGAATTTTTATAACATGATGTATTTTTATTTTACATAATATGGCTATTGTCATGTCTGTGTGTGTGTGTGTGTGTGTGTGTGTGTGTGTGTGTGTGTGTGTAGTAATAACTAATAATAATGTACAAACCTTTGTGATCTATTATGCTAGTCTGATCGTATATTCTAAAAATGCTAAATACATGAAACAAATATTTCTAAAAATATAGATATACTTACAGGCCTATCGTCTGCCATTATCTTTTGCCATTGTGTCAATTCACTATCAAGAGACACGGTAGTGTCTCGCGCCAAGTACACGCGAAGCGAGACCGCACCGTGAATCTTTTACGCGACGCGACGGGTTGCGAGTATACGAGATGTTGAGATCTCGATAACGAGTGAACGGATCAACCCATGTAGCACAACAGCGCCTGAAAAGCGTTTTGAAAGCGCTACTGCGGGTGCAGGAATTCAGCGCTTTTTTAGCGCTTTAGAAGCATATTACCGCTTTAAAAGCGCTTTCAAAATCCACTAGAAAAAGCGTTTATAAGCGCGTAAAACCAGCGCAGGAAAAAATGCAATTTTATAGCGTTCAAAGCGCGCTCAAAATTTGTTCAAAAAGCGCATTATAAGCGCATTATAAGCGCGTAGATTAATATAGTGTGGGAAACGTTATTAAAATAAATATTCATGAAATAATACATAATATTATGTATTTTAATACTGATTTGTTACAAATTGGTTGAAATTTTTATGGCATTTAACCGTCGGTAGTTAATTGATAAGCATTCTCACATGTCAAACATAATTGGGAACATAATTGGAAATAATCTATTTCGATTTTTTTTACAAACTTTTGCGACACAAAATAAAATAAAATGCTTCTGCGCTGCATTTACGGATAGCCGTGCGAATATCGACTCATCTTGGTTATAACCACTCGTGTATATAGTCCTGCTTTCGTTGTTACCTCTTGTCACCTGTAAAACAAATTTTTACATTTATACCTGTAGTTATAAAATTTCATATATTTTCCTTTGACAACCTCTATTTTGACATTGCAAAAAACATAACAAAAAAGTATCTGTACCTATAGGGGAGATAATCGACCTTTGAAAAATCTTTATTATCTTGGCAAATCAACATTATTTATGGCTCTCCTCTTTGAATTACTTCGAAGCCACCTACTTATGGAGCCTGTGACTTTTGATCTCGAAAAATTTCTTTTATATTGTTTGCCACATGCATCTGAAAAAAGATTTAAAAAATTACAATATTATGCATGAGAAATACTAAATACAGGATTTAAGTTGATAAGTTAATCATCATATTTATTAAGAGTAGATCAAGTGTATTTTAAGGGGGGGAGCCTCATGTAACCAGTAAAAAAAATCGAAAAAATTTTATTGCACAAATCATTAGTATAATATCTCTAGAATATGTTCCCAAAATTCCAGAGCGAAATTCGAACTTGAAATAGGCAATTTTATACCTGAGCGTTACGCAAGTAAAGCGCGCGCTCCGAGAACTTGAAACTTTAAACGCGTTTTTCTCAAAACCATGTTTTTCAAATTAGCGTGCAAGATTACTGATAAACTATTCGACCAATCGACTTGCCCTTTGGCATGCATGTAGATAACTAAATACCATTGTCTTTAAACCTACTTGTTTAGTCATTTTACATGAGGCTCCCTCCTTAAGACACAACAGGACTGAAAGTAAGAGTTTCATGTTTTTTTCTCAGCATTTTCAATAATTTACCAATAATGCACTTACCACACTTTAGTGACTTGATTCCTTTTTTTATCTCTGTCCCTGTTTAATTCAGTTGTAATGCAACCTCAGGAGAGAAAATCTTCTTACATATACTAGTAGCCATTTCTCCTTCGTGTACCCCTCTCCCAGCTACAACACTAAAATGGGATACCTGTACAGAAAAAAAGTTATTAGCAAAAAGTTATATTGATGTGCTTTTTAATATTCTTTAAGTATGTAATTACAAAGAAAAGTCACTTAAGATTTGAAATTAAATTAAAGAAAGTACTACAAGAAAATAATATGAACTAATGTTATATAACAATCTGTCTACTGTATATGGATGTAGCTTATCAGAAGTACAGAATTCGAAAGATGGTAAAAGATGCAACGCTAATTCAGAACGATAAATGATATTATTGTTATATTAATTGAATAATACATATTGCGGAATTATGCACTAAAGAATTAACATTGAGCTATTAATTATATAGTCTGGACAATATATTTATCAAATGATTGACAATAAAATGTTATTTAAATATTGAACGTAACAGAAATATATAAATTTTATTTTTTAATTTATATTTGATATCTCTTTCTGACAAAATTATTTCTTACATTTTCTGTATCCAGTGATGAAATGTTTGAGAATTTCAGAAAATGTTCAGAAAGAAGTAGATGCACTTAAAGAACAAATAAAAGCTTTAAAAACATACATTTAAACTACTTTGTGTTTTCAAAATATTATTCAGTTATTTAGCTAATTATAAATATTATTCAGCTTTTCTTAGAATACATAAATTACGTTTGTTATTACATTTTAAACACAACTTGTTTAACTTGTTTGTTGCATCTACTTCTTTCTAAGCATTTTCTGAAATTTTTAAACGTTTCATCACTGGATACAGAAAATGTAAGAAATAATTTTGTCAGAAAGAAATATCAAATATAAATTTAAAAATAAAATTTATATATTTCTGTAACGTTCAATATTTAAATAACATTTTATTGTCAATCATTTGATAAATATATTGTCCAGACTATGTAATTAATAGCTCAATGTTAATTCTTTAGTGCATAATTTCGTAATATGTATTATTCAATTGATATACAATAACAATATAATATTTCCTTTATCGTTCTAAATTAGCGTTGCATCTTTTACCATCTTTCGAATTCTGTACTTCTGATAAGCTACATCCATATACATTAGACAGATTGTTATATGACATTAATTCATATTATTTCCTTGTAGTACTTTCTTCAATTTAATTTCAGATCTCAAGTGACTTTTCTTTGTAATTACATACTTAAAGAATATTAAAAAACGCGTGTGTAGTAAAATATAATTTTTAAACTATTTTTTTCTTGGAAGAGATTTGTGTTAAATATTTTTTGTAGTATTTAAAATATGTCAATGTTTAAGTTTTTTACGAGAAAGTTTTATTGTACTACCAAAGACTGGTATAAGTTTAAATAAATAAAAATCTTTTTCTATATATATATATAAAACATACAAAAATATAAAATAAATCTATATTATTATTAAGAAAGAATAAATATCTAAATATTAAAAAAGATTTTTATTTATTTCAACTTATACCAGTCTTTGGTAGTCAATAAATCAAGAGAATCAAGAGAAGGTACACGGTAGTATCTCGTAACAAGTAATACTTACGGCAGAATTCATGAGTAACCACGTCCGAACACGTCAACAATTTCGCTGTTTTGATTGTTATTATTAGCTAGTTAGTATATTAGCTAATCTATAACGTAGCACCATGCAGGTTCCTGTTCCCACTTATGTTGTCAGGGACGACACAACTAGGCAGCAAAATTAAATCTTGGAATAAAAAAAAAAACAGAATTAGAACACAAAAATAAATAAATGCATATAATAAATATATTTGTAGAAATACATGAACTCTGTATCGTAACCTCTGGGTGCGTTCCGAATTTGTACATCAAAACGCAGAGCACTATTTATTCTTCTTAAACGTTCGATGAACATCAAAGACAAATAATATATATACGCTATGCGTCTGATGCGCAATTCGGAACGAACTCTCTGTAAAAAATGCTTGCATATATTACAAGCTGGGGTAATGATACGGCTCATGTACTTTTACAAACGTACATATATATAAGAAACTAGTATATATAAATAAATATATAAGAAAAAATGTAATACTTACAGGAGTATCCACGTCCGAAGACGACGACGACTTTGATGACTAGTCCAGACAATATTTGGTTCAAACTCCCTTGATCAGGGGCTGTACGACCATTACTCAAAATATATGCGTTTATTCCTCTTCTTTTTACTCGTATATATTAACCCACTACCACACGGATGATATAATTAGGTCGTCAATTGCTCGGGGGGGTGTTTATCCGCCCCGGATTCGCGAATGGTCAAACTCGGTTGAAGGACCAGAGGGCCCGTGCCCTCACGAAAGCGATTAGAAATGCCGAAAAAGGGGGGGGGGGCGAAGCGACTCACCGTATCGTAGCCCGTGATGTCCTCGCACAGCCTCCGTCCTTCCTCCTGGTTCTCGTGGTGGCGGAGAGTCAGCCCAGGCAGGATGGTCGTGCAAGACGCATGCGGATCACGGGATCGTGCGTGCAGGCGGAAGACAAGCAAGCAAGCGTTAATGCACACGACTCGAATCACACGGCGCCGTTTCGCGGGGTGCACCCGGGCGCGGAATACCGTCCACAAAATCACTATGTGGCAAGATTCTATCGATGCGATGTAATTCTTCTCGAAAAGCGAGAGACGACGACGGTCCGAGACGTGAGGCGTCGAGTACGGCCCCAAATTTTACTGTCTTCTCTCGCGTACGAAATACAACTGGTGTCGGTGCTTGCGCCTCGCGAAGACACCGGGAAGAAGCTCCTCTTCTTCGTGCTTGGGGTGGCCGCCCGCGTGCGGGCAGCACGAGTCGGGTGAGTCGCGCGAACATTGACTATCGAATGGATCGCGATCCGCCAACGTCGCGCGCGAGTCGCTAATACGAAGTGAGCCTCGTTACCGACCGTAAACGAGACAAATATATACAAAGATGCTAAGCAACTAATCTAACGCGAATACAATACAATGACGCAACTAACAACTATTTACAAGTAACTATTTACACGCGAGTACCAAACATCAATTTTTACAAAATTCTATACCGGACGAAACACAAATAATACGCTATGCGTCTGATGCGCAATTCGGAACGGATGACTCTCTGTAAAAAATGCTCGCATATATTACAAGCAGGGGTAATTATACGACTCATGTATTTTTACACGCGTACAAATATATATGAGAAACTACTTACAGAGTATCCACGTCCAAAGACGACGACGACCTTGATGACTAGTTCAGACAATATTGGTTCAAG